ACACTAAAGGTCATAAATGCTAGGAAGGGGTCCAACAAATGGGAAAATTAATAAAAGCTAGATCCAGTGGGGGAAGGCTTCCAGCAAAAAATAGAACTTCATCCGAAATCTCAATAAGTTGGTAGATCAAGTCTGAGGACTTGGGTAAAAAAAATAAAAAATAAAAATAAAAAAGTTGGTAGGGGCTGGGCATGGTGGTGCATGCTTATAGTCCCAGCTACTCGGGAGACTGAGGTGGGAGGATCCCTTGAGCCCAGGAGTTGGAGACCAGCTTGGGCAACATAGTCAAAACTCCATCCCAAGGGAAAAAAAATGTTGGGAGGATTTGATTAGCAGAAAGGAGTAAGAATGTTGTAGGCTTGAGATATAGAATGAGGGAAAGGTGTAAAATCAAGAAAGTAAACGACATGCTTGTTAGCTAGTTTTGGTTCAGGCAGAGACATGGGGGGAATAAGGTGAGGTTGTAAGATGATAAAGAAATGAATGACAAGGTAAATTTAGACTGTGGAAGGCCTCAAACGTCAAAAGGTGTTTGATCTCTATCTTTTATATCCAAAGTTTTAATTTGAGGAAGTGAGGTAAGGAAACTGGTATTTCAAGATCGAGAAATTTCCCAGGATGGCTAAGTGATGGAAGAAAATTGAGGCAAGGAGACCACTCAGGAGGCTACTGTAATGGTACAAGCATGAGGGAAAACAGATAGCGTAACTGTGAGAATAGACAGCACAGGGACCTTCAACACCAATTTCCTTCCTGGAAGGAAGGACCAACAGGACGTGGTGACTGAAACATAATAAAGAAAAAATAAACCCAAAGATGAGGCTGAGATTCAAGATATCTAGGTGACCAAAGAATTTTAGGCACACTAGAATTTTATTTATTTTTTTGAGACAGTCTCACTCTCTTTTCTGGGCTAGAGTGCCGTGGCATCAGCATAGCTCACAACAACCTCAAAGTCCTGGACTCCCGCAATCCTTTTACCTCAGCCTCCCGGGTAGCTGGGACTACAGGCATGTGCCACCACACCCGGATAATTTTTTCTATATATTTTTAGTTGGCCAATTAATTTCTTTCTACTTTTAGTAGAGACAGAGTCTTGCTCTTGCTCAGGCTGGTCTTGAACTGCTGAGCTCAAGCAATCTGTCCGCCTTCGCCTCCCAGAGTGCTAAGATTACAGGCGTGAGCCACCGCGCCAGGCTGTGTTTCTACCCTTTAATGTTGATGCTTTGGAAGTAGATACCTGGAAAAACAATGTTCCAACAATGCTTCTCAAAATAACTTAAGAAACAATGTAATAATTTTTCCCAAGTATGACATTTCCTGGAATTTGATCCTGAAAAGGTCAGGACAGGGTCATCATTTTTTAAATGATTTTTTTCTCTATCCACAGGTATGAAATCTTTTTAAAAATATCCCTGTCATTATACAACCTTGCAGAATAGAGCCACTGCCCTCTATCCTCTGAATTAATTATGGATTTTTTAAAAATGAAATTAAAATAAAAAATAACTGCAGTTTGACAAGTTCATGCTAAGTAAATACTTATATAAAATGCTGACCTGCCCTCTCCCCCTTCTTTGAATCTGGGAGAAGCAGTGAAAACAGTCACATCTTTTGGTCTATAATGAGGGGTATAGTCAGAAGGGGGTGGGAAATAGGAACAAAATTGTGGAATTGTTCTAGGTAGCCACCACGCCCGGCCTATATTTTAAAATATATCAAGACATTGGCTGGGCGTGGTGGCTCACGCCTGTAATCCTAGCACTCTGGGAGGCAGAGCAGGCAGATTGCTCGAGGTCAGGAGTTCGAAACCAGCCTGAGCGAGACCCATCTCTACTATAAATAGAAAGAAATTAACTGGCCAACTAAAAATATATATACAAAAAAGTTAGCCGGGCGTGGTGGCTCACGCCCATAATCCTAGCACTCTGGGAGGCCTCCGTGGTGGCTCACGCCCATAATCCTAGCACTCTGGGAGGCGGAGGCCGGTAGATCCTTTGAACTCAGGAGTTCGAGACCAGCCTGAGCAAGAGTGAAACCCCGTCTCTACTAAAAATAGAAAAAAATTAGCTGGGCAACTAAAAATATATAGAAAAAATTAGCCAGGCATGGTGTTGCATGCCTGTAGTCCCAGCTACTTGGGAGGCTGAGGCAGGAGGATTGCTTGAGCCCAGGAGTTTGAGGTTGCTGTGAGCTAGGCTGATGCCAGGGCACTCACTCTAGCCTGAGCAACAAAGTGAGACTCTGTTTCAAAAAAAAAAAAAAAAAAAAAGACATTACTATGCCAGCTTATTAGGGAGGCCTAGTAGAAGACTTTAAAGAGGTGAGATTTTTCCTTTAAGAAACAGTCTTGGCCAGGTGTGGTGGCTCACACCTGTAATCCTAGCACTCTGGGAGGCCGAGGCAGGCGGATCACTCAAGGTCAGGAGTTTGAAACCAGCCTGAGCAAGAGCGAGACCCCTATCTCTACTAAAAAATAGAAAGAAATTAATTGGCCAACTAAAAATATATAGAAAAAATTAGCCAGGCATGGTGGTGCATGTCTGTAGTCCCAGCTACTTGGGAGGCTAAGGCAGGAGGATGGCTCCTGTGAGGTTCCTGTGAGCTAGGATGATGCCATGGCACTCACTCTAGCCTGAGCAACAAAGTGAGACTCTGTCTCAAAAAAAAAAAAGTAACAGTCTCATGAGTCACTTAAACTGTATTACTGTCAAGTCATTACAAATACAGGTGGAGATTTCACTGAAGCTCAATGCTTCAATGAAGTATATAATCAAGTAGGGGTTTTGTTTTTTACTTATTTTGAAATAAGACTCAAGAAGTTGCAAAAATAGCACATTTCTCCTATACTATTCCCCCAACTTTCTCCAACGTAATATCTTACACAACCATAGAGCATCACAATCAGCAAACTGGCCAGGCACAGTGGGCACATACCTGTAGTCCCTGCTACTTGGGATGCAGAGGCAGGAGGATTGCTTGAGCCCAGGAGTTTGAGACCAGCCTAGGCAACATAGTGAGACCCTATCTTCAAAAACAAAAACAAAACAGAAAACAGATAAAACCAGGACACTGGCATAGCAATTAGCTTTTAAAGAAACTGAAAATACTTTATGAATTTGTTATAATACTTTAATTCTCTCCTGAATATTGAGGAGGGAAGGTTCCCTGAAAGTAACTAGTGGAAAGAGTGAAGGAAGCGAAGTTAAATGCTTTAGCCAGCACCAGACTCAGACTCTCTGGGCTGAATATTTGAATCACTGGAAGATGGCCACAGTTGAACAACTGGCTGGCCCCACTCCAAACCAAAGACATCAACCTCTGCAGGTAAGGCTCAGGCATCAGTATGTTTTAAAAGCTCCCTGGGAGATCCTAATGTGCAGCCTGGGTTCAGAACCATTGATGCAGAGGCTTTGATAAGGGTAGGAAAGGGTGAGGGAAAAAAAATGGCCTATGGGGTACAATGTACATTACTCAGGTCAAGGGTACAAAAGCCCAGACTTCTCCATTATACATTACACATGTGCCAGAATTCAACTTGTACCCCCTAATTCTATTGTAATAAAAAAAAATTAGCCTTAAACAAAAAACCCAGGCTGTGTAATAGAAAGATAATGAGGTTTCTCACCTGTGGACAAAGTCTCACAGGTTCAGCATGGGATAAAAAGATGGCTGGAGTTCTAGGGGCCAAGGGAAAATTTTTTCACCCTCTGAAGTTTCACTGAATAATCAATTGGCAAAAAGCAGATTAACAGAAAAGGCACGCAAATTTTATTTAAACGTGCATAATGCAGGGGAATCACAAAATGATTACTGAACAACCTAATGGGGCACAAAAGTATATATACCTTTTTTCATAAGGGAGAATGGAGATGGAGAATGTCGACAGTTCTTTTGAGGGGCAGCAAGTGCTAATTAGGAATTAGAAATTAACTTGTAAGAGATTTTCTTTGTAATTTCAATGAGCCAGAGAGGGAGGCACAACCTAGTGAAAAAGCCCTTCCAGGTGTGGTTGCATTCCTCAGTCTTCTTTTCTGAGACTATGAGATTTCAGGGAAGAGAGGAAGGCAATTAATTGTTTCTTTTGGAAAGAAGCTTTCTTAGTCAGGGAAAGTATCTTATCTACCAGCGCTTGGGGAAGCGAGGGAAACAAAACCCAGAGGTAGCTTCTAAGGCCCTTCTGAATGTCAAGCTCGTTTTTAGGGTATCACTTTCTGAGCCACAAGAGTAAACCGTGACATACTCCTTTCCTTCCAACTCTAGATTCTGGTAATTTAGATCAGTATCATTATTTTTACTGCAAATTTCAGGAAGTTCTGGGAATTGGTAGTTAATATCACGGAGAAAAAAACATGAGATTGGTTTCTTCCATTGTGCCTACTTTCAATAACCATGTATGAATACATAAGACTCCTGGGCATAAACAAATTACCTTTGTAAGGTCCTCGCCCTAAAACTATTTTTGGAAAGTAGGGAATTTCCAGAACACTGGTCGTACAGGAGTTTCACAAGCCGAGCTGCAAAACCAGCCTCCTCCCAGTCATTACTATGCCTTCGCCCTACTTCCATACCTTTGGTCACCACACGTTCCTTGGAGAGCTTTTTGGGGGAACCGATACGATTCAGAGACGTGTTTTCTATTAATAAAAATACTGTAAAGCAGCCCTCTCCAGATTCCCTGTGGGTCACTTTAAGTTACAAGTTGGTCCATAAACATCCGAGCTACCATCTTCACCGGCTCTACATTTCCTGGTGGTACGCGCTGCACACGCGCCTCGCAAATGCTAAAAGTTAGCAGAGGACGAGCGATGGAGCACAGACAAATGGCCAAAATCGCAGAGATGATTGTGAACTGGACAACTTTATTTTAGGAATAAGGTATCTCATAAGCTTGCGGCTCAATAAATAACAAACGAGGCGATTCGGACCTGCTTTAGCTAGACGTGGTCTCCTGGACCACTCGGGACCCCACGCGGAGACATCCTGCAGGCGACCCCAGAGTCCCTCGCAGCACCGTACGCCCAGGCGCGGAAACAGACGCCGAAGGGAAGGCGCGGCCGGGAGGGACTAGTTGGCGCGCGCCGGCCGGGCGTGGTGACGTCAGGGCGGAAGCGCACGCTGCGTGAAGCGGCCCAACCCGGCGGTCACGGGAATATCCGTCGCGCCGAGAACGCTGGTTAGTCTCGCTTCGGGTTCCGGCTGCGTTGGCCTTGCGTGCAGCTCGCAGAGAGTATGGCGTCCGGGCCTCACCCGACAGCGACCGCAGCCGCCGCCTCGTCGGCCGTCCCAAGCGCGGGCGGCTCCAGCTCCGGGACGACTACCACGACGACGACCACGACGGGAGGGATCTTGATCGGTGACCGCCTGTACTCGGAAGTTTCGCTCACCATCGACCACTCGCTGATTCCGGAGGAGAGACTCTCGCCCACCCCGTCCATGCAGGACGGGCTCGACCTGCCGAGCGAGACGGACTTGCGCATCCTGGGCTGCGAGCTCATTCAGGCCGCCGGCATCCTCCTCCGGCTGCCGCAGGTCAGTGCTCCGGCCCCGGGCCGGCCAGGCGCGCCTCACCTCCCCGCCGCCCGCTACGCTGCGCCCCAGGACCGCTGTGTCCCGGCAGGGTGGGGATGGCTCGCTCGGGCCCTGCGGCTCGGGCCGTGGCGGGGCGCGGGGGCGGAGGCGGGACCCGGCGGCGGGCTGTTCGCGGCGGCGGCGGGAGGGGGAGGGGGAGGGGAAGTGAGCGGCGGCACAAAATGGCGGCGGCGCCTGGTGCGGGCCCGCCTGACCCTGGCGCTTCCGTTCTCCTCTCTTGTCTGCAGGTGGCGATGGCAACCGGGCAGGTGTTGTTTCATCGTTTTTTCTATTCCAAATCTTTCGTCAAACACAGTTTCGAGGTAAGCAATGCGGAGGCGTATGAAGGGGATTTTTTTCATCCGGAAATGGGAAGGAATAGGGGTAGTGTCAGCAGCCAGCCTTTCCAGAAAGGGAGTGGTTACTTTAGGCCTTTGTACCTAGTTCTCACTCGCCAGGAAGTGGAAACCTTTAGAGTGTGTTCGGAAACTAGAAAATGGATCCTGGGCCCAAGTGCCATCTTATAAAGGATTACAGTTTTCAGCCAAATGCACAACTTCTCTGAGATTTGAGTTTGCCTTTTGATCCAAAACTAAGAGTCGAGCAATGGATAGAGTATAGTACTAGTATAGTTGGTCAGCCCGTGGTCTGGAAATGTCAACTGTAATTTTATTTGGCCAAAAGTTCTCACAGTTAAGTTCTAAAGTTTATTCGTCAAAATAAGTTTAGTCTTACAATAGTTTTTGTTATCTTATGGGTTTTTTCAGATTGTTGCCATGGCTTGTATTAATCTTGCGTCAAAAATCGAAGAAGCACCTAGAAGAATAAGAGATGTGATTAATGTATTCCACCACCTACGCCAGTTAAGAGGAAAAAGGTAAGATTGGTAATATCAAACATTTCTTGCTACTGCTGTACTGTGCACCAATCATTAATTCAGAACATCTTTCCTCTCAAGTCAATATGGATGCAAAAGAAAACCGACGTTAATTTAGGTGTTACAATTCACATAGGAACACATAACCAAATAAATTTGAAAACCCATAATTAACCAGTTATCTAAAGTTTGTAGAGGCAGTTGCATTTATGGACAATCCTAACAGACCAATCCTGTGGCTTAAGATTAAACAAGAAAGGGAATACGTTTGGCTCAAGTGTGAGTGTATTCTGTAAGTTATTTTTCCTCTCCCCTCATTGGAAGAATGAAGGCTGGAAGTTTAAACGCTGTAGTTCAAGTTAATATTGTGGCAAAGTTCTGTGTAGCTTGTTTTTCTACTCCAAAGTCCCAGTTAATTCATTATCAATTGAGGTTGGCTTTTGTTAGAGTACTTCTCAACATTGAACTACGATATATCGCATAATACCGGATCTGAAAGGACTGCAGGATGATAAAGTTTGAAGTTTGAAGTCAAAGGGATTAAACAGGTATTTTGTTTTGGTCAGATACAGTCTCAGTGAGTGGGCTAGAAAGATAACTCTTAAGGTTGATTGCATTACATTTAGATAAGGCCCATTTATTCAATCTTGTGGACAAAAAATAATATCTCCTAGATGTTGTGGTAATGTAATTTTGTGTGGTCCTCTGTGTTCCTATGAGTAGTACCAAAAGTTTGTTGCAGGGCTTCTTGCATCTACATATAAGGTGACTTCTAGTACATGATGCAGAAGGATATACTTGGTGTAGATTAGTTTTTGTGTTCCTTTTTTAAGGACTTGTAGTGAAGTTAGTCAAACTTGTACTGAGTTTGAATGGAAGTTATGAAATTATTATAAGTTGTTTTGGGGGTTGGGTGTGTTGGTTAGTGCCAAATTGGTGTCCTATATAAGTAGTTCTTATTGGCTGAATCTGTAAGTTGACAGTAATGGGAACTATTCAGACACACAAATATTAAAGTAATTTTAGAGTGGTTAGCCTATTTTGTAAGTCCACAGACAGTATTAAAAAACCTTGTCAAAAAGTCTGAAACTTTTCTATCCAGGTTATTTCACAGCATTTTTTCAGTTTTCTTACATACCTTCTTCTGCCCAATCTATGCTCATTCACCTTAACTATGGCCAGGAATAGAGTAATTTTTTTGTTTTGTTTTAAAGTACCTTTTAGTTTCTTGGTGAGGAATCCATGGAATTGGGAACATTTCAAATTGGTGTTCAGCATGGTCTGAGCTTAAATTTTTAGTTAGGTACCTCACTGATTCTTCAGGATGTTTAAAACAGTGACACTAATACAAGGCCCTGTCTTTAGTCAAAGGATTCTGTTTGCTTAAGGGAAATAATTTTCTGGTAGTCTTTGGAACCATTGAGCCAACTTTTATGTAATCACGTGGTTTATCTTTTGAAATTTTCCTGTGAGACTGAGTTTTGTTTCTCAATGTTAGAATAGGTCGTAACTGTAAGACCTAGTGGAACCTTGGAATTTTAAATTAATCCCACCTGACTGACTTGTGTCTGATCTAACAGTGCAGTTTTTGGTTATTATTTACAGAGAAATTGATTTTTTCAATCTTAGTCTGATAATAGCATGAAATTTAAAAGGAGTTAATTGCATGGAAGCCTTTTTTTAAAGCAGGATGTAAAAGTGTTTCTATGCATATTACAAGTTTACTCAGACACATAACTTGTATATGTTATTAACTTCAACTCTTTTTTCCCTTGCAACCGACTATACAGCGACCAGCTACATTTACCAAAGCCTGGGTGATGTGGAGTGGTACATAGAGATGAAGCTGTCGTCATGGCAACAGTGAGTGAAGTATCGAAAATCCCCAAGGAGAAGCCAGTGCTCTGAGAATAGGTCACTGGAATCGGGGACTAACAGGTTGGCCACTGGTGAACCATTTAGAACAACTCCTGTTTCTTGTTATAAGCTTTTGTCTTTGCTGTCCAAGTTATTAGAACTGTAGCTCAGTTTTTTTTTGCTTAGGTTAATTGTTATTAGTACTATCAATGTTATATACTTTAATTAGGTAAAGCATATCAGTTGTCTTAATGATACTACTAGTTTTAATCTAGTTTATGTATACTTTTAAGTTGTTAGTGTGACCTCGATAGTTACAGAGGAGACATCCTTCATGTAGCTGTTTTTCAGTCATAGCTACACATTAGAATCACTAGAGGAGCTTTAAGTATCAGTGCTTAGTCCTCAACCTAGATTATTTGGCCTATTCAGTTTTTTGTAGTTTGATCATTTTTTTTTAAGTTCAGAATAAATGGCCTATTCAGTTTTTTGTAGTTTGATCATTTTTTTTTAAGTTCAGAATATAGAGAGAAGAGTGCTTTTGTTTTCATAGTTTCCAAATACTTCGGAGATGTAGCATATTCCCAATATCAAATGGGAATATTTTTCATAATTTTCATAATTTAAGGGGCCATGTTCATACTCTTAAGACTTGTCTAAAAGACAAATTTTCAAAGACTGGTTTAACCACTTATTAGTGAACAATGGTGTGACATTTTCAATGTATATAGAGTTGGAAGGATGTTAAGTAATGTCATTTACTCCAACAGCCTCTTCAGTTTATTTCTGTGGCTTTACAAGCTACTTTCAATTTGTTTAAACACCTAAAGAATGTTCCTATGTTCCATGAAGTAGGCTTTACAGATTTCTGTATATTAAGTAACAGTCTGCATCCTTCTAAACTACTTAACCTGGTATTAATAGTCTCTTGAAGAACTAGTTGCAAAGTTTCTCCGTCCTTGAGTCCGAGTGAGACTGTGTGGACCTCCTAATTTTAATTGTTGTTATATTTCAATTACATTAATCATGCTAAAAAGGAAAATAGCTTCTCTAGGAGACCAAATAAGAAGCTTCGAATGACCAGACAGTAGAAACTTAGAGCAGAGGAAGTGTGGAGTTAGTAGTCTATGTGCTGATTAAAAATTGTTTGAGCTTTCTCTAAATAGATGAATTCAGCTTTTTTTTTAAGACTTTAAAATGCTGCCTCTTCTAACTTTTTTATTGGCAACTAAAGTTTACCTGATTGAGGAGGAAGAAATTTTAGCAAGCCTTAATTTAGTTTAATGTGCTTGTTGCCACAAAAAGTACTAATTAATAACTGAGTAAAGAAAGCACTTGCTTAAATCCTTTTCCGGAGCTTTGCTTACTGACTTATGGAGACACTTGTTTCTATTTCTGATACAAAGTAATCTTTGTAGGGTAGTTGTAAATTACATGTTCATTGAGCCTTGATTTGTGAAGTAAAACCAATTCTGAACAAAACAAAGGTATGGGATTACACACCCACAAAGTTAACCTTGAAAAGTGCAGGTTATAGCAGGAGTAAGCAAGAAGTCGAGTTATATAGATAGTTGAATTATAATAAATAATGGGTTTGATTTTCTTGATCTATTTTGATATCATTGGTATTTTCACACAAAAAGGGAAGTAAAGTTATGGCAGAGTAAATGGAAAATTAGGCAGAATTACTTAGTGATTAAACTTGATTTAAGGACTAGGTAGTAGCCCTACTTCAAGCAAGTGTTTAGCTTGTTTAATGTAATTGCAAAAACAAATGAATTTTATCACAATTTGAAGGCAACTCAGCAGGTTATTTTAGTAAGAAGTATAGATGATAATTTTGATCAATGTAAATGGAGAAAAATTAAACAGAACTGTGCTGCTAAAATTAGATTTTTATGGGGATTCTGATGGCTGTCTTCTGTCTGGATTGCATGCAAGGGGTTAAGAGTTAAAGTGGTGTGCAGCTTTAACACTGGAGCTATTTTATCTCCTAACGCTAATTGAAGGAGAGCCATTGGATAACCAACCAGTCAGTGTGAAGTGGATTTGACTTTTCCAAATTTCCTGTAATGATAAAACCTGAACAATCATAAACCTTAAGATATTTGGAATATATTTTCTTACGTGTATATATAGAGAGTACATATATAGCTCTCATTTGATTTAAGTTTGATTTATTTTTCAAAGAGCCATTCATAGCCTACTTTCCTAATAAAATGGATTCATCATTGTATTTTAATGTTAGAAAGCAGCTTGATGAGGGCAATTGGCCCTCACCCCTCACACCTTTTACAGGTGTGATGGATTGAACTGAGTGAAGGCCAATTTAAGTAACACCTGTTTTTCATCCTGTTAGCTCTGCCATCTTCCGTTTAATGTAATTTGATAAAATCATACAGATTAATTAGAATAGTAAGTTCTGGGTTTTGTTGTAATTTTAAGTGGGAGAAAATAAGGTAAAATATGATAGCTGCCTTTTTATTCTGATAACATGTCACCATAGGGGTAGTTAATGTAGGTCACTTAAGATTGTTTCTAACCTTCAGGTGGATATATTGAAATACAGTATTGTTTTTAAAATAATGAGATTACATTTTTAATGATCTGATGTGCATTAGGTAAATTGGGAATGTTCTACCCAGAGCAAAAAACTCTTGAATCTTTTGGCTGAAAATGAATTAAGTATGGGTGAAAATATTAAACGTTCTACCCATGTACTTACCATGTTAATCAATGTGTTAATAAAAATGTACTTTTTGGTTGGTAGGGTAGGATCTAAGGACATAGGTAAATTTCATTGACTTTTCAAAAATGAAAGTTTAATTCTTTAGCAGTTGCCTAATTTAAAATTTTTCAGGAAACCACTTTTGAATTTTAAGACTTAAGTAACATAGTCTTTTACTGTAAATAGTAGAGTTTTTTTTTTTTTCCATACAGAGTACAAAACACTGGCCTAGCGAGGTGGCCTGGTGGCTCACCTGTAGTCTTAGCATTCTGGGAGGCCAAGGTGGGCGGATTGCTCAAGGTCGGCAGTTCCAAACCAGCCTGAGCAAGAGCAAGAGCGAGACCCCGTCTCCACTATAAATAGAAAGAAATTAATTGGCCAACTAATATATATAGAAAAAAATTAGCCAGGCATGGTGGTGCATGCCTGTAGTCCCAGCTACTTGGGAGGCTGAGGCAGCAGGATTGCTTGAGCCCACTCTAGCCTGGGCAACAAAGCGAGACTCTGTCTCAAAAAAAAAGAAAAAAACACTTGGAGACAGCATCACTTGAATGTGTGCTATTTTCAAAATATTGTACTGCTGCCATACCCATTTGTATCATAGGAACTTCTCAAGTTAACAGAATTTAGTCTGGCACAGAGCCCTTGAATTTGTTCTTCTGGTTCCCTCATTATGGTCTTCCATTCTCTTGTGTATTAACATACTAAAGCATTTTGATTAATGACTACAACTCTGACAGAATTTTGGCTTGTATCATAGATAACTTTGAGTTTTGAACATAACTTTTAAATTTTACTTTTGGTAATTGAGCTGAATCTTTAGTTTTCAGATTTTTTTTTTTTAGATAGAGGTAGGTTCTTAGAACAATGAGTTGAAGCATACTGCCCCCTTAGGGAATCCGGATTAACTACCCACTATTTCTTGTTTTTATTTTAGCCCTAAACCAACCAAGAATAGATAATTTAGAAAATGAATGAAAAACCATTAAAATTTTATGAGGACTTAACAGTACTATAAATCTTTTTAGGAGCACATTAGTTTTGTCAGTGGAAAGTCTCTGTAGACTAATGAGGTTTGTGATAATCATGCTATTACTAAAGTTAGTGTATATATACCCAAAATATAATCAGAAAGAAAAAGTCAACAAAGATAAATCCAAGAGCATTAGAGTGAAATTTTTTCAGTGCAGAGTTGAGTTGAGTTAGTTCTTTTAGGAACTTAGTGTAGCTGTATATATTTAAATTAGCATAACTTGGACAGCACAAGATTAATGCTTTAACTTGTTTGCAGGAGTTTAAAAAGCTGGTTTCTGTTGCCAATAGTTGGTTGGAAGGGAAAATGGAGATGCCACAAATAAAATTTTTTGGATGTGCAAAACAGTTTTGATTTTATTTCTTACAAACTATAGGACTCCAAGCCCCCTGATCCTTGATCAGAACTACATTAACACCAAAAATCAAGTTATCAAGGCAGAAAGGAGGGTGCTAAAGGAGTTGGGATTTTGTGTTCATGTCAAGCATCCACATAAGGTGAGTTGTAGAGTACAGAAAGTATATTCGTAAGTATTAGGGCAGTTTAAAATTTTATACAAATTCATATTGTTTATATATAAAGAGTTAACCTTGGTTTTAAAAAGCACTCTTTTGGATGTTGTCAGTAAGGTGGAAATGAAAAAAAAAAGTAGGTTCAAATCTTCACTCTTAATTGCGTGCTCATAGAGAAGTTCTTTTTGCTTCTGTGGGTAAGTGCAGTTTTCCCACCTCGAAAATGGAGATTGGGGACGATCTTATTCCAAGGAATAAATACTGTGTAGCTGCAGAAGTACCTGGCATACTTCCTGTCACATAGTAAAATGTTCTTACCATTATTGGAAATCCATAGGTTTCTCCCAGCATCTCTTGGCTTTCATACTAATATTAATAAGTGGTTGTGAGAGTGGATGCTCCAGTCGTGATTAACTGGGATAGAAATGTACTTTGGGAAATTCGATGAAATAAACTTTGGCACAGTGCCCATCATCTAGTAAAGTGTTTGTGAAAAATACTCTTTTTAATTGAATTAACTGCCATTTTTTTCCTGTATAATATTGGAATATACTTATAAACATAGTTTTTATATAATCTAATAAAATTATAATTCACATTGAATCTCATCTACGTTTTAGGTTGGTCTGTATTATCTATGCAGAATTAGAACTTTAACATTTTCAGTTTTTTCATTGAATTCTATACCCTGAAAGAACCACCAGTATGCTAAATTGAGTTTTTTTCCTTGTCCTTCAGATCATTGTTATGTATTTACAAGTCTTAGAATGTGAACGTAACCAAACCCTGGTTCAAACTGCCTGGTAAGTTGCTTTTTTACATTTCTTTCTTAGCCAGGAAAACAGAAGCAGAAATAAAGTAAGTTTCGTTTTCCCTTTCCAAAATAATGACATAAGTTTGTTTTGGGGCTTTTGTGTTTTTTTTTTTTTTTGTTGTTCGTTTGTTTTTTAATCAAAAGGTAAATAATGCTTATTTCTGCTTCCTGTTTTCTTGGCTTGACTAATTACTTTTAATGGAGAACTCAATTTAACTTTGTTCTTTTTTCTACTCTTTGATTAAAGGGTAGTCCATGATGGTAAGTCATAGAACTCTGCCCTCTGCACTTCAGCCCATGACCTCAGGATGGCCTGATTGGCTGCCCTGCTCTCCAGCCAATCCAGTGCAAGCTCTCATCCGAGATTCACTGAAGTGGTCCATATCCATCTGGCAGCATCTTCTAGTTCTGTCGGGGTGTCAAAAGGATTTGTATATTTGCTTCTAGAAGTAACTATTTGACATGCCTATGTATTTAATGTATACCTGTAACTATCAAAATGAATAGTTCATTTTTGATAGATTTGTTCAGCCATTATGAATTATAAATGGTTTTTATTAGGAGTTTGACTAAATTTTTATTTTTAGTCTATATAGCATGAATTCTACCAAAGGAGACTACAACTTGCAGCTTTAAGTGGGCACCAGTTTCCATACTGAGTTAATTTATAGCTGCTGGGCTGTATTGCTGGCAGTAATATTAGATAGAAGTAAGAAGTGCTTCATTTTTAAGAGATGTTATTGTTACTTAAACACTTTAGACCTTGGACTTCTGATTTGCAGATGTGTCATTTGGAGTGCTGGCTTATTTAAAAATCAAGCAAGGAGTTTGGTTCAGTCACAACTACTGTTTCTAAAAAGACTATTGATATGAAGGACTTAAGTAATTTTTATGTTCTGGACTTTCCAGCAAGATGTCCTTTTTTTATAATTGCCATGCTTCTTTTGGACTCAGTAAATACTAGTCATATTAGAAAAGTCTCACTGCTTTTATAAAATGCATGACTTTTTAATATGTGTTCTATAAAATGGATTTTAGCAATTTTCATGAGTAAGGATTTTGAAGATATAGTCCATTTATTTAATTTTAGCTTAATCGTTTAAACAACTTGTAAAATTTCTTTATTAGCTTAGAAATATTGTGGGGAGGGTTCACTAATAATTAAAATCTAGCAATTTATTAACTGAAATAGTTTATTGCTTTTATTTATACATAATACCAAAAAAGGTATGTAAACAAGGCCATTATGTATGTTTATTGCTGTTTGTTTCTTTACCTAGATTGTCTGAAGTACCTTAGTTTTCTTTCTTTCTTTCCTTTCCTTTCCTTTCCTTTCCTTTTGTTTCTTTCTTTCTTTTCTTTTCTTTTTCTTTCAAGTGGGGTCTCATTGTGTTGTCCAGGCTGGTCTTGAACTCCTGGCTCAAGCCATCATTCTACCTAAGCCTTCTTGGTAGCTGGGATTACAGGCACAAGCCACTCTGCCTGGCTAGTTTTCTTTACATAAATGTAACTTGGTGGGTGCTTACAGAAAATAACCTTTTTTACCCCTAGTTGACACTACTTTTTATTGTGGATAAAGGAGAGTTGGTCAATAATTAATAATTTGAAGTATTGTTGGAGTGTTTTATTGTTTCTCAAACCAATTATATCAGAATTTGTCTTTCAAAGCTTTGCTTTTTATAGAAATATATTACAGAACTTTAGGAGTAATTTCTATTTGGATAATTATATCGAATAATTTTAAAGGGCTTTGGTCATTAGGAAAACTGAAGAATGGTCCTTGTTAAATTCTTTTATTGATTTTTTTGAGTTATATGTTAGAATATGAGGATGTGAGTATAAATAAGAGAAGAAAAAAGAATAAAGTAGATTGAGTCTCCAATTTTATGTAAGCTTCAAAAGAACTGGTTTGTTTACATACAAGCTTATAGTTGAAATATTTTTCAGGAATTACATGAATGACAGTCTTCGAACCAATGTTTTTGTTCGATTTCAACCAGAGACGATAGCATGTGCTTGCATCTACCTTGCAGCTAGAGCACTTCAGGTAGGTATATATATAGCCTATTTGTTTTATAGGTTCAATCACAAGGATTTCCAGTGGTTCCACTAAATTTTTGCTGCAAAAATTTAATCCAAACCATTTTGTTTTTATGGTTTAGATTCCATTGCCTACTCGTCCCCATTGGTTTCTTCTTTTTGGTACTACAGAAGAGGAGATCCAAGAAATATGCATAGAAACACTTAGGCTTTATACTAGAAAAAAGGTAATTTCTGTTCATTCAAGTTTGTGCTAGTATTCTCAGTGCTACTAATCTACTGTAAGGGAGGAATACTAACTTCGTTTTCCTCTAACAGCCAAACTATGAATTGCTGGAAAAAGAAGTAGAAAAAAGAAAAGTAGCCTTACAAGAAGCTAAATTAAAAGCAAAGGGATTGAATCCTGATGGAACTCCAGCTCTTTCAACCCTTGGTGGATTTTCTCCAGCTTCCAAACCATGTAAGATATGCTTAGACTTAAAGTGATATGGGGGCACTGAAAATGTGTCATTAGAAATTTCTGGCATTTAACAGTTGCATAGATACAATGAATTTATGAAGCAGTTACTGTTTTCTCTCCTGACGGTCAACTAAAGACTGATACTTGGAAGCATTCTACTTTGTTTTGGTCCTCTTTTAAATCCAGTGATTAATGTGTTGTTAAATCTTTTAATAGCATCCCCAAGAGAGGTAAAAGCTGAAGAGAAGTCACCAATCTCCATTAATGTGAAGACAGTCAAAAAAGAACCTGAGGATAGACAACAGGCATCCAAAAGTCCTTACAATGGGTGAGTTATAAACTGGCCTTAGGAATTTTTTGTTGTTTCTAACACACTAAGTTTGTAACTAAAATGTTACGGTTTTTTTGAAGTGTAAGAAAAGACAGCAAGAGAAGTAGAAATAGCAGAAGTGCAAGTCGATCAAGGTCAAGAACACGATCACGTTCTAGATCACATACTCCAAGAAGACAGTAAGTAAATGTTTTCTTAGGGAAAGTACTCCAATTTGAAGTCTTCAGAGGTTATTGCTTTTTCTAAAAAAATGATTGAACAGAGACTGTTTTCAAAGATTACCAGGATAGAATTAGGCTTTTATCATGAGGAGAAATGAGTTTGGAGACATGTTCTGGATATGTGGTGTCTTAATGGCATTCTGTTTTTTTCCCTTTTTTTTTTTTTGAGATGTCCAAAGGTATATAATACCTGTTTATAATGCAAAAACATTAGATTTTAATTTCCATTAACCTGTTATTAATAACCAGTAATCAAATTAACCGTAGCCAAAGAATCTTTCCTAGTTAGCTTTGTAGTTAGATTGCTAGCTCCTGTGTCTCTTGAACATGTGTGAGCTATTTAATAAAAAGCTTAGCTCCAGGACACTGTTAGGCTAATTACTCCTTGCCTTGGAATATAGCTATAAGTACATTTGTTTAAGATTTATCTAATATGTTATAGGTGGATGGGGAGAAGTAGGGTGTGGAGATTTAGAAAAAGTCCTCAGTTCTGTTTGTCATTGATATAGCTGATAAGTTTTGTTTTGAACCTTTTATGAATAACCACCAAATCTGTTCTCCATAGAAACTGAATCTAAACTTCAAATTTTTATTATCTAAGTTATAATAATAGGCGGAGTCGATCTGGAACATACAGCTCAAGATCAAGAAGCAGGTCCCGCAGTCACAGTGAAAGCCCTCGAAGACATCATAATCATGGTTCTCCTCACCTTAAGGCCAAGCATACCAGAGATGATTTAAAGAGCTCAAATAGACATGGTCATAAAAGGAAAAAATCTCGTTCTAGATCTCAGAGCAAATCTCGGGATCACTCAGATGCTGCCAAGAAACACAGGCATGAAAGGGGACATCATAGGGACAGGCGAGAAAGATCTCGGTCCTTTGAGAGGTCCCATAAAGGCAAGCACCATGGTAGCAGTCGCTCAGGACATGGCAGGCACAGGCGCTAACTTTCTCTTCCTTTGAGCCTACATCAGTTCCTGGTTTTGACTATCTACAGTGTGATGTATGGACTCAAAATCAAAACATTAAAGGCAAATGGATTAGGATTTGATTTCTTAAAACCCTCTAGGTCTCTAGAAACACTGAGGACATTTTCTTTTGAAAAGAACTATGTTAAACTTTTTTTGCACATTAAAATGCCCTAGCAGTATCTAATTGAAAACCATGGTCAGGTTCAATTGTACTTTATTATAATTGTGTATTGTTTATTGCTATAAGAACTGGAGCGTGAATTCTGTAAAAAAATGTATCTTATTTTTATACAGATAAAATTGCAGACACTGTTCTATTTAAGTGGTTATTTGTTTAAATGATGGTGAATACTTTCTTAACACTGGTTTGTCTGCATGTGTAAAGATTTTTACAAGGAAATAAAATACAAATCTTGTTTTTCTAAACTGCTTCAAATATCTTATTTAAATAAATTATTAAAAAGCAAAAATTTTAATAGCAAAATGGCTGTACTGATTTTCTGATAAACTTAACTGTTCTTTCCTCTATTAGATATAGTCTTGAGCTTAAAATGTAATTCTTATCTACATTGTGAGCTATTATAAGTCTTGACTGTATATGTAGAAAAAGTAAATGGGAGTGGTCCAACAATGTAACATTGTTACATTGTAGCACTAAACTCAAAAGCTGTTTTTCATTTGGTACCATACCATGAAGTAATTTTAAGTCAGTTTTACATATTCTAAATTGAGCTGGCCTTTTGAACAAACCCAAAACTTTTAATATGACATTAAATAAGACCCAGATATTGAGCCTTAACAGTTCTGTATAACTTAGGCATTTGTTACTTAGGCTAGGAGAATTTATTGTGATAAAATGAGGCCCCTGGGGCCTGGCTGAGTTAATACAGTACAATCTGAACACAAAGACTTTTTTTGGGGGGGAGACATGGTCTCACTCTTGCCTGGGTCAGTGCCATGACATCAGCTTAGCTGACACCAACCTCAAACTCTTCGGCTCAAGAGAGCCTCCTGCCTTTCCAAGTAGCTGGGACTACAGGCATGCACTACTGCCCCCCAGCTAATTTTTTCTAATTTAGTAGAGATGGTGTCACTCTTGCTCGGGCTGATCTTGAACTCCTGAGCTCAAGCTATCTTGCTTTGACCTCCCTGAGTGCTAGGATTATGGGCTTGAGGCACTGAGCCCGGTCTGACCACAGAGAAATGAAGTGTTCATGAAAACCCAGAATTCATGTCCAAGCATTTTGGAAATTGGTGATCTTAAGTCAAAAATGTTTTCATTACTTTAAAGTTTCCATTAAATTTTTTGCATACTTTATTTGTCCACTAGACTTGGCTCTAAATGATTTGTTCCAGTTACAAAATACCTAATATACCTACACACAAAGAAAGGAAGATGTACTACCACTAAAGACGTTTTTAAAGTTATAGCTTCTGAAGAGGATTCCAATGGTGAGCAGTGGGACTGGAGAAGGTAGATAGCTTCACACGGCAACTGCTTTGAAGGAAGCAAGATTCATTTGGATATAAAAGTGTTGGGTATGGTACTTAAAGCAGTTCTAACTATAAAAACAAAACATGACTTAGCATGAGTTAGCAACTATGTCATGCTAACTTGAAAGAGGGTAGACAGTTTATTGTTCCTTCTACATGATTTAATAATGCTGAGCTATAAACAATTTCTGAGGAACTAACTGCCTCTAAATGTTAAACAGTTTTCCTTTGCAAGACAGGCATTGAAGGAAGGCAAAGGCAAATGTTAACAAAGGCTCTATTAACAAATTAATCTTGAATTCTTAATAGTATGTAAATTATTTACATGTGTTATCCTTGCTTGGAAATTGGAGTGCTGTGGGTGAGGATTGTTTGTGTAGAATGGGAATTGTGGAGCATTCACGTGTGTGGGATTAGATGTTAAAGGTATTTGTTTAGAGGTGGCTTTGCAGGCTAGGAAAGGATGTCTTTCAGTGTCCTAATAATTCTTGTGCTATTACTGAATCAGTTTTCTAGTTTCTTGTCAAAAGGTTAACCGTGTGCTGTTCTACCACTATTTAAAAACTTAAAAAAAATAATACTTATTTTCAAACTTAAGGGAAATTTCAAAGAAGTAGAATACCCATCTTTCAGCTCCAAAAATAATGATCAATTTGTGGTTAGCCAACCTTGTTTATAATCCACCAATTCACCATTCTACCTCCCACCATTATTTGGAAGAAAATCCTACACAAATGATTCATGCCCAAGTGTTTAAATCCAAAAGGCAAGGGCTTTAAAGAACCACAAATGCCTTTTTATTACGAAAGTGAAAAGTAATGCCATACTGTCCTTTCACTTTTTTTTTTTTTACCCATAGGTGCTTTACATATCATATATTTTTATAATTGGTTTGTTCAGAGTCCATAAATGGTACATTGGCTTTAATCAAATTTCTCCATATTTTTTACTTGTAATCTATTTGAAGAAATTGGGTCATGTCCTGAGGAGTTTTCCGTATTCTGGATTTACTCACTGTAACCCTATTTTGTCACTAAACACATTTTTCTGTCCCTTGTATTATAAACTGGTGGATCTTGAGGCTTGATCAGATTCAGGTTTAATTTTCTTACCTGACACAAGTCTGGAGACCCAGAATGTGTTATTCTAGAACTGGCACTTGAGTGCTACCTCATTCACTAGGTATTTCACTGGGTTCCCAGCTTGTTTTTGGTTTTGGTTTTGTTTTTTTTTTTTTGAGACAGAGTCTTAACTCTGTTGCCTGGGCTAGGGTGCTGTGGCATCAACCTAGCTCACAGCAACCTCAAACTCCTGGGCTCAAGCGATCTTCCTGCCTCAGCCTTGAGTAGCTGGGACTATAGCCATGTGCCACCATGCCCGGCTAATCTTTTCTATATATATTTTTAGTTGGCCAATTAATTTCTATTTTTAGTAGAGACGGGGGTCTCGCTTTTGCTCAGGCTGGGTTTCGAACTCCTGACCTGGAGCAATCCTCCCGCATTGGCCTCCTAGAGTGCTAGGATTACAGGCGTGAGCCACCACGTCCAGCCTGGTTCCCAGTTCTTAATCCATTGGTGCTTGTACCTCAACAGCCTTATATGTTCCCCTCTGTATTTTCTGTCTCATATCTTTGTTGCCCCACTATAGCTGTGCAAGTAAGTTGTTTAGTATTTCTACGAATGATTCTGATTTTTTTTTCCAAATGATCCATTAATGTAATCCTGATATTTTAATCAGAAGTCCTTTCATATGAAAGACTATTACATTTGTATTTAAAATTCTTTTTTTAAAAAACAGAGTCTTACTTTGTTGCCCAGGTTAGAGTGAGTGCCGTGGCGTCAGCCTAGCTCACAGCAACCTCAAACTCCTAGTATCAAGCAATCCTCCTGCCTCAGCCTCCTGAGTACCTGGGACTACAGGCATGCGCCACTATGCCTGGCTAATTTTTTCTATATATATTAGTTGGCCAATTAATTTCTTTCTATTTATAGTAGAGATGGGGTCTCGCTCTTGCTCAGGCTGGTTTCGAACTCCTGACCTCGAGCGATCTGCCCACCTCAGCCTCCCAGAGCGCTAGGATTACAGGCGTGAGCCCGGCCTGTATTTAAAATTCTTAACCATCTTCCCATTTTAAAGTGAACATAAAAAAGAAGTTCTTAGTTTTGCTTTAATCGTTTTAAATTGTGTCACTGTTACCATCAGTTATTAGTATTAACCTCATTAACATCACGATCTGCATCAAAAGCCTTATTGATTGATTGAGACAGCGTCTCACTTTGTTGCCTTGGCTACAGTGCCATGGCGTCAGCCTAGCCTCATACTCCTGGGCTCAAGCGATCTTCCTGCCTCAGCCTCTTGAATAGCTGGAACTACAGGCATGCGCTACCATGCCTGGCTAATTTTTTCTATATATTTTTAGTTGTCTGATTAATTTCTTTCTATTTTTAGTAGAGACGGGGTCTCACTCTTGCTCAGGCTGGCTTTGAACTCCTGACCTTGACCGATCCTCCTGCCTCGGCCTCCCAGAAAAAGGCTTTGTTATTTATTTATTTTTTTAAGCCTTTGTTATTTAAAACTTTATTTTTTATGAAAGTTTCCCAAAACAAGATAATTTCATAATAGATATTCATTTGTCCTAAATGCCATTTCTTAATTCATTATGAGCTATAATAGATACGGCTTTTTTTAAATACCAGATTTTTTAAAACGGAGTTAAAAGTGTAGGCATATTGAGAGGGCTTTCTTTAGATGGAGAGTGTGCATGGACTCTGATATAGAAAAACATCACGTCCCCCAGGTGAAACTGAAGGAAACAGCATTCATTGTGTGGGACTGGAGACCCTCATAATCCCTTTTCTCTAAGGCTAGAAGCCACAGCCTGATTTTTTAGCTATTTGAACTTTGTAACCATTTGAACATTTCCATCTATGAAACACAACATGGACTTCCATGTCAGCTCTGCATTCAAATCATTCCTCTACTAATGACTTGGCAAGTTATTTTACCTTTTGTCTGCAAATTGGTCCTTCTCTCACAGCATCTTGTATATGTGTTGGGCAAGTGGAAGGGCTGCTATTTTTACCACTGCAATCCAAAGAGTTTGTATTAAAGCACCCAGCTACTTAGAAAAGTTTGAATTCTACAATTCGTATGAACACAGTTCAAAAGACAGCTGTTTCAGAATGCTACTTCACAGATCTAATTCTGAACGATGCAAGATTTTCATAGAGAGCATGAAAAACACTACTCTTGACTCTTTGACTCCAGGTTTTCTCTTTACGCTTCTGACACTTCTGCTCAGCATAATTCTAACTCAGTTCTAAGTACAGAGGAAATTCCTACCTGCCTGTTTTTATATTTCATCAAATTGCCCTATGTCAGTTGTCGCCTTTCTGGTATATGTAGCAGCACTTATCTATACACCTTTGCCACAATCCTTCAAACGGGTAAAATGATCTATTTAGGCCGGGCGCGGTGGCTCACACCTATAATCCTAGCACTCTGGGAGGCCGAGGCTGGCAGATTGCTCGAGGTCAGGAGTTCGAAACCAGCCTGAGTGAGACCCCGTCTCTACTATAAATAGAAAGAAATTAATTGGCCAACTAATATATATAGAAAAAAAATTAGCCGGGCATGGTGGCACATGCCTGTAGTCCCAGCTACTCTGGAGGCTGAGGCAGGATGCTTGAGCCCAGGAGTTTGAGGTTGCTGTGAGCTAGGCTGACGCCACGGCACTCACTCTAGCCTGGGCAACAAAGTGAGACTCTGTCTCAAAAAAAAAAAAAAAAAATCTATTTAAAGTGTTAATCACATTCCATTAATACATAAAGCCTCCAATGGTTTCACATTTCACTTTGTTCAAAATACAAACCTCTTGCCAGTATTCTCTGTCAACCTCACTTTTTCTGTTCATATATGCACGTTTATTCATGAGTCTTTGCATTTCCTATATTTGCTTGGGATACTCTTGTCCTAGATCTTATGTGATAG